CAAGAATTATTCATCATTGCATCTGGTTTTAACATTACTTTTATAAAGTTTGAAATCCAAACACTGAAAGCTGTCACGGTTTTTACAGAAGCATCACAGTTTTGCCAATCTGAGAGGATTAAAAGAAAAAAATTCCTGTATCCGCATCGTGATCCAGAACATCACCAAAATGTAATGGTGTGTTACTTGTGGCAGTACCCACATGTGGTGTAAATGTCATGACAATCCGTCCAAGTTTTTGAGTAATGCTGTCCACAGACAGAACAACATACGCGACCGAAAACATTACCTCGCCCGTTGGCGGAGGTAACAAATGCTGAACAAAGTGGCTTAAAAGCCTGAATTTAGCCTGAAACTCTCAGACTGAAGAAGTCTCTTGGAGGAGAGACGAAACGTTTCATTAAAGAAGAACCCATCCAGAGGACCTATACAACTGTTTTTCTTTTTGATTTTTACCTGGATTACTGAGATGCATCAGGTCATGCTGAACAAAGTGCTTTACAGTTCAGTCAAAATCAAAACAAATAAATAAAAATAACAAAAAGGAAGTTCAGCAGTCCATCAGCACACTGTGTTGCCTGGCAGAGAAACCATGAAGGAAACCGTTCAGGCYGATAAGACGATGTAAAACCAGCTTCATGTGTTACCTGTCCAGCTCTGGTCCTTGTCTGTTTCAGGAGCATTCACTCTTTGTATCAAGTATTACTGCCAATGCAGAGCAGGAACAACACTGCTCTGTTGCTCTTACACGAGCAAGACAAACTCTGTAATGTTAATGCTACTCTTGATTTATTTTGGATGGTTTTTCCTGTTCCCAACAGATCTTCACTGTTGATGATCCCACTGGATCCAGCATGACATCCTAGGTCTAGTCTTTCAAATGAGCACGTGGGAGGAGCACCTAGCCTGACGTTTCCTCAGCAATGGCTGAAGCTTCTCCTACACCGCTCTCACCTTCACAAAACGAAGACTCTTCCTCGCCCCCTGACCTCTGCGCATCATGTGGCCACCCTCACAAACTGGAGGAAAACCACGAGTACATGTACCAGGATGAGGTCGATGATGACCTCGTGTGCCACATCTGTCTGCAGCCGCTCATAAAGCCCCTGGACACACCCTGCGGTCACACCTACTGCCAGGAGTGTCTGACCAGCTTCCTCCTGGAGAGCGACTTCTGCCCTGTGTGCCGCACGCCCCTCATGCTGCAGAGCTGCAGGAGGCCCAGCCTGCTGGTGCACAAGCTGCTCGACAAGCTGATCGTAGCCTGTCCTTTCGTTGAGCATTGCACAGAAACACTGCTTCGTGGTGAGGTGGAGGACCACATCAAGAGCAGGTAGGCTTGCAAAAACACAACTTCAGCTTCTGAATTCTCTGCATTGTTCCGAAATACACAGTTTACATGAAGTCAGGTTCTGCAGGTTATGCATATCTTACCTGTTGTAGATAGTACCTTAAAGGGATCCCTGATTAGTTGTAACATTASACTTTATTTGGTAAACATATATTTTAACTGTAAAATAAAGACTAAAAACACAGTAGGCTGTTTAGTTTTGTAAATTTTTAAATATATATTTTAACACGGACGGAGCCATTTTATTTACACACAAAGCAT